CCACCACCACACTTCCACGTAGAAAGCAGACTCACACCCACACAGAAGATGAGACACGACCACGGACCAGAAGCCGCACTGCAGCTGCATCACTACCCATTTCAAACCCCTCCGAGCCATACATGAAGCGAACTGACACCCATCATGAAGACCACGAACTCGAAGCCAAACAGCAGGATCACAGCTCACCAGCTCAAATCCCCCATCAACTAAGACTAACCTGAGCACAGCTAAGCCCCCACCTGAACAGAACACACCTCCAGCCAATCAGAACACGGCCAACCCCCCCCAACCAATCAGAACACAGCCAAGCCCCCACCCAATCAAGTCACACCCCAACTAGCAGTTAAAAGGAAGAAGCAGCTGCAAGCTCACATCACTCTGAGAAGCACAGAGCTGAAGACACAAGCCTGAAGATGATGAATGAGACTTCATCGAAACGTTGCCTAGATACTTCCAATCTTACGCGGGAGAAAACCCGAATAACCAAAGATCGATCTGTCTATCTATCTATCTATCTACATACACACACACACACACACACACACACACACACACACATATATATACGTATATGTATATATGTATGGTATTCAGCTTTGTTCGGGTATTTTCCTACATCATTATAGTTGTGCTTTTAAAGTTGTAGCAATCTCATCTGCCATCCTCAGGCTTCTGTATTGTGTTTGTCTGTGAGTCAGACTTTTACAGTTGTTCAGCTGGATCAGACGAACACAATACAGAAGCCTGATGATGGCAGATGAGATTGCTACAACTTTAAAAGCACAACTATAATGACATGGGAAATATATGGATATATATCTCCATGCCTGCTGTGGGGTGTGTGTGACTCAGAGAAAGACACCAAATTAGTAGGTCAACATCCTGGGCTATCAGAAACTTGAGAAGCGTTGCCTCACCCAGAAAAAAGTGGGTGGATCTTCCCTCTTTGCCGTGATTCAGACGGCCTGGTTTTGCTAGCGAAGAAGTCAAACACGGGGCAGGTCCTTCGACTCATTCTGACTCAGCTCTGGGGGGGGGAATGTTTGGCATATTTGAGGATGAGGTCAGGTTTCCTCCTCCTCCTTCGCTCTGCTCCCGGGGGGAATTTTTGAGAATAAAAGAACCGGACTGGAATCGTCGTAAAGATGATGCAACGCCTTTTGCATTCAGCCTCTTAATTTGCAGAAGCCGCGTAAAGTTGGACTGGGTTCGTCCTTTCACGTTGCTGCCAACGTGGGGAAAGCATTAAGGAAAGATTTAGGCAATGTTTTACCTAGAAATGTTAAATCCTTAACTTTCTGAGTTACCCGTTTTATTTTATTTTATTTTATTTTATTTCTTTTGGCGATCTGCCTTACTGCCCTATGAACGGATTGCTTATAAACATAGTGCAAAAGTTTTATGAGGTTTTTTTCCTTTTTTGTAGCAGGCAGTCAGGGCTATAATTGGTGTTGGGGGGGGACACGTGCGTACACACACACACACACGCACATACACACACACAAATGTGTAAAAAATCTCTTTGCCTTCCTCCCTCTTTCCTGCTTTCACTCTTTCCTTCTCTCTTTTATCACTTCCCTCCCTCTTTTACCCTTTCTTCTTTCTTTCCTCCCTCCCTCCTGCTTTCTCTCTTCTTCCTTCCTTCCTTCCTTCCTTCCTTCCTTCCTTCCTTCCTTCCTCCCTCCCTCCCTCCCTCCCTCCCTCCCTTCCCTCTTTGCCTTCCTCCCTTTCTCCTACTTTCTCTCCTTCCTTCTCTTTTATTCCTTCCCTCCCTCTTTTTCCCTACCATTCTTCCTTTCCTCCCTCCCTCCTTCCTTTCCTTCCTTCACTTTTTGCCTTCCTCCCTCTCTCCTGCTTTCTCTCCTTCCTTCTCTTTTATCCCTTCCCTCCCTCTTTTACCCTTCCATTCTTCCTTCCTTCCTTCCTTCCTTCCTTCCTTCCTTCCTTCCTTCCTTCCTTCCTT